CCACGTGGAGGCTGGTGTTTCTTTGGAGTCAAAGGTGGGGGGAGAAATGAAGCCCAGAGGTGCTTGTCTTCCGGGAAAATCACATGCCTGTGTGCTAGGGAGACAGCCGTCTTTTAAAATGCAGCTGTTTTCTCCTATGTATTCATCTGAATCTATGCATAGGATTTCATAATTGCTCCCACCCCCGCTACTTACCACCCAGTCCATTATGTACCTTTTAAATATATATATATCTTTACTAGAGGCCAGGTGCATGAAATTTTTGCATGGGGGTAGGGGTGGGGTCGGGGGGGGGTGTCCCTCAACCCAGTCTGCACCCTCTCCAATCTGGGACCCCTCAAGGGATGTTCAACTGCCGCCCAGTGGGATTGGGCTTAAATGGGCAGTCAAACATCCCTCTCACAATCCAGGACTGCTGGCTCCCAATGCTCGCCTGCCTGCCTTCCTGATTGCCCCTAACTGCTTCTACCTGCCAGCCTGATCACCCCCTAACCACTCCCCTGCCAGCCTGATCGATGTCTAACTGCTCCCCTGCCAGCCTGTTTGCCCCCAACTTCCCTTCTCTGCCAGCCTGATCACCCCTAACTGCCTTCCCCTGCAGGCCTGGTCCCGTCCAACTGTCCTCCCCTGCTGGCCATCGTGTGGTGGCCATCTTGTGTCCATATGGGGGCAGCCATCTTGTGTGTTGGAGTGAGGGTCAATTTGTGTATTACCCTTGCATTAGATAGGATTGCTTTCAGAAAGGAAGGGAGAAGAAGAGAGAGAGAGAGAGAGAGAAAAACATCCATGATGAGAGAGAATCATGGACCGGCTGCCTCCTACACACCCCCTCCTGGGGATGGAGCCTGCAACCCGGGGCACGTGTCCCGACTGGGAATCGAACCGTGACCTCTTGGCTCCTAGGTCGACACGCAAGCACGGAGCCACGCCAGCCGGGCCCATATGTGCTTTCCAAACAGCCTCCTTCCATCTCACCCTGGCGGCCAGACAACAGAGGGTGTGGCCTTTCCACGGAGTGACTTTCTGCAGTTTCACATCCAAGAAAAGACACAGCGACGGGGAGAAACGTCGCTGCCTACACTTGACTGAAAGTCAGGCTCCGAAGCCGATATGGCTTTCCTCCTGGAACTTAAAAGAGACGGGCGCTGGCTACATACGTACAGGGTGAGGCTTCACACCGGGACATATACCTGGTCCCCATCTGGTCCCTTCCATCCCTCAGAGCTCCTTGGCTGCCTCCTACTCTGCCTACAAAGAATGTTTGCAAAAATATATATATATATATATCCTGGTGGCTAGATCCTTGTCACGGGGTCAGCGCTCCATCTAGTGGTCAACAGGATAATGGTAAAAAAAATATAATAATTCACACGAAAAACAGCCTCCCGGGTCAAATGCCAAACTGTTTGCAAAACTGCCTGGTACGTGATCTGTGCCCGTGGTTCTCACACTTTGCCACCCGCTACAGCCCCCTGAGCGTGTGTAAAAAAAATCTGATGCCTGGGCTGCACCCCGGACCAGTGAAGCCAGAACTTCTGAGAGCCGGACCCAGGCATCAGCATTTGTTTAAAACTCCAATAGGAAGCCGGTGACCTCCAAACCAAAATGAGGCATAAAAAGCTAGAAAAACCTCCTGTAAATATTGAATGTCACACGTTTCATAAAGATAGTTTTACGTATAGAAGGGGTTTTCCCGCCTTCTTTAAAATTGGAACTTTTTAAATATTTTATTGATTTTTTTTCTTTTTCTTTTTTTTTTTTTTTGTAGAGAAGAAGGGAGAGGGAGAGTTAGAAACATCGATGAGAGAGAAACATCGATCAGCTGCCTCCTGCACACCCCACTACTGGGGATGTGCCCACAACCAAGGAACATGCCCTTGCCTGGAATTGAACCTGGGACCCTTGAATCTGCAGGTTGACACTCTATCCACTGAGATAAGCCAGTCAGGGCAAAATCGGATCATTTTTAATATATGTTTTTATTTATATCCGAGAGGGAGAGGGAGAGGGAAGGAGAGAGAGAGAGAGAGAGAGAGAGAGAGAGAGAGAGAGAGAGAGAGAGAGAAAGAGAGAGAAAGAGAGAGAAAGAGAAAAAAAGAAACATCAATGATGAGAGAAAATCATGGATTGGCTGCCTCCTGCATGCCCCACACTGGGGATTGAGCTTGCAAACCCCCTTTCCCTCACTTCCCCCTCCCCCCTACTCCACTCCCCTTCACTCATACCCTGCCTCCCGCTCCCTGCATGTGCCCTGACTGGGAATCCAACTGTGACCTCCTGGTTCATAGGTCAATGCTCAACCCCTGAGCCACACCGTGGGGGGCTGACTGCATTGCATTTTAGCAGCATTTACAGGGCATATGGAATCCCAGTGGTGGCCCAGGCATTCCCTTGACTGGGTACTTTGGGGTGAGGTTCTGTGATGAAACAGCCAAGCACTAGAGTCATCTTGATAGAAAGAGAGAAAAAATATGTCGGTAGCCAAGGGATTCAGAGGTCGTTTGGATTTCAAAATTGAGTGTTCAGCAGGGACTGGTTTGGCTCAATGGATAGAGCGTCCGCTTGGGGACTGAGGGGTCCCAGGTTCGATTCCGGTCAAGGGCATGTACCTTTGTTGTGGGCATATCCCCAGTGGGGGGTGTGCAAGAGGCAGCTGATCGATGACTCTCTCATTGATGTTTCTGGCTCTCTATCTCTCTCCCTTCCTCTCTGTACAAAATCAATAAAATATATTTTATAAAAACTGAGGGTTCGTGTAGGTCAGAGAGTTTTATGGCATTCCATGGGACGTGCTCTAATTGTAAGGAGGCGGAGAGAAGGAAGTGAGGCTGCTTTTAGGCATCGGAGAAAAGTGATTTGTGCCGTACAGGCACAAATGAAACAATGATCCAAGGACTATAGAGTGAGCAGCAAGCAAAAGAGGAATTAAAAAAAAAAAAAAAAAAAAAAGGCCTGGCTTGTGGTTGAGCGTAGACCCATGAACCAGGAGGTCACGGTTCAATTCCCAATCAGGACACATGCCTGGGTTGGGGGCTTGAACCCCAGTGGGGAGGAGGCCATGCAGGAGGCAGGTCCACCATGATTCTCTCTCACTGATGTTTCTCTCTCTCTCTCCCTGAAATCAATAAAAACATATCTTTAAAAGATTTTTTTTAAAAAGAGTCCCAATAGTGCTGAATTTTGGAAATTTATCCTGCAAAAGGCCTTCTTGGCCCTAACCAGCGTGGCTCAGTGGATAGAATGTCGACCTGCGGACTGAAGGGTCCCAGGTTCGATTCCGGGCAAGGGCATGTACCTTGGTTGCGGGCACATCCCCAGTAGGGGGCGTGCAAGAGGCAGCTGATCGAGGATTCTCTCTCATCGACGTTTCTAACTCTCTATCCCTCTCTCTTCCTCTCTGTAAAAAAAAAAAAAAAATCAATAAAATATATATTTAAAAAATAAAAAGTGATGAGACCCTTGCTCTGCTGGCATGGCTCAGTGGTTGAGCATCAACCTATGAACCAGGAGGTCATGGTTCGATGAAGAAGAGAAGAAGAAGAAGAAGAAGAAGAAGAAGAAGAAGAAGAAGAAGAAGAAGAAGAGGAGGAGGAGGAGGAGGAGGAGGAGGAGGAGGAGGAGGAGGAGGAGGAGGAGGAGGAGGAGGAGGAGGAGGAGAAGGAGAAGGAGGAGGAGGAGGAGGAGGGGGAGGAGGAGGAGGAGGAGGAGAAGAAGAAGGAAGAAGGAAGAAGAAGGAGGAAGAAGGAGGAGGAAGGAGGAGGAAGGAGGAGGAAGGAGGAGGAAGGAGGAGGAAGGAGGAGGAAGGAGGAGAAAGGAAGGAGGAAGGAGGAAGGAGGAAGGAGGAAGAAGGAAGAAGGAAGAAGGAAGAAGGAAGAAGGAGAAGAAGAAGAAGGAGGAGGAGGAGGAGGAGGAGGAGGAGGAGGATGAGGAGGAGGAGGAGGAGGTAACCAGACGTCCCGCTTTGGGGCGGGACCGTCCCGCAAGAATCTGTCGAAGAATCGGGACTGTCCCGCCCAAAGCGGGACGCCCGTCCGGTCCCCTTCGTTAAGAAGTCTAAGTTTAAAAACCGTGGCTCTCCAAAGAAATCCCGGTCGCTGCGCTGTTGCTAGGTGGCTCTGTGGACTCAGGAGTTTGCCGACCACTGGGCTAGGTAAGAAGACAAACGTGTGGGCGTCCCTGCCACCCCGCCTCAGGCGTCCTGGCCGGCGCCGTCGTCAGAACTTCAGCACCTTCGGCAGGGACTTCTGCGTTTTAAGTGAAAACGGGCCATAGAGGTGTGCATGTATGTGCAGGCGCTGAGTTACATACGTCCGTTAGACATGCATGTGCATACTTCTTCCAGACGGAAACCCCTCCACACGCGGAGGCGGCCTCCCTGCCCCGCCCAGCCTCTCACCTCAACCTCATGGCGGCTCCGAGGTCGGTCCTCGAAGGCCCGCACCCTGAGGTGCCGTCGTGGGTGGGGGGGACAGCAATAGGGGAGCCCTGCCCACGTCGCTGTCCCTTCAGCCGGCGCCAAGGACGCCCTCGGGCGCGCGGGCCCCGAGGTGGGCATGGCCCCTGAGGTGCGCACCGGCTCCGCGACGTCGCGGCCACTCGAGCGCCAGGTGGCGCCGTGCGTCCGTCCCCTGCGCCTGGGGCGCGCTGCGCTCTGATTGGCTGAGTGCCGGAGGGGGGTGGAGCGCCGGGGCCGGCCCGCCTCCCTGTCCCCTGCGCCTGGGGCGAGCCGCGCAGTGCGCTCTGATTGGCTGAGCGCCGAGGGGAGCGCCACTCGCAGTGCGTTCTTATTGGCTGAGCGGTGGGTGGGTGGGGGATAGCCGGGGTCCCGCCCCCCTGTCCCCTGAACGGGACCTAAGTGCGGCTGCTCGCCCACTCCCCGCGCAGTCTGCGGGCTTCCCGGGCGGCGGCGGCGGCGGCGGCGGGGCCGGAGCGGCGCATCGAGGCGGGGGGACAAGACCAGGACAGGAAGGCACAGGCCGGCCGTGCGGACACCCGCAGCCATGCTGTCCTGGCAGCTGCACACGGGCGCCGAGAAGGCCGAGCTGCAGGAGCTCAACGCCCGGCTCCACGACTATGTGCGCCGCGTGCGCGAGCTGGAGCGCGAGAACCTGCTCCTGGAGGAGGAGCTGCGCCGCCGGCACGGGGGGCTGTGGGGGGCCGAGGACCAGGCGGCCCGCTGGGCGGCGGCGGAGGCGGCGGCGGCGGAGGAGGCGCGCGGCCTGCGGCTGCAGCTGGACGAGCTGAGCTGGGCCACGGCGCTGGCCGAGGGCGAGCGCGACGCGCTGCGGCGGGAGCTGCGGGAGGTGCGGCTGCTGGCGGAGGAGGCGCGCGCCGCCCGCCGCCGCCTGGACGCCGAGCTCGGGGCGCGGCGGCGGGAGCTGCAGGAGGCGCTGGGGGCGCGCGCCGCCCTGGAGGCGCTGCTGGGCCGGCTGCAGGCCGAGCGCCGGGACCTGGACGCGGCCCGCGAGCGGGACCTGCGGGAGCTGCGCGCCGCGCTGGCGGCCAGCCTGACCGTGAGCTACAGCGCCCGCGCCCTGCTGCCCGCCGCGCCGCCGCCGCCGCTGCTGCGGGAGGTGCGCGACAGCTGCTCGCTGCTGGTGGCCGAGTCGTGGCGGGACGCGGTGCAGGTGTACGAGGAGCAGGTGCGCGCGCTGGAGGCCGCCCTGAGCTGCGGCGAGGAGAGCCGGCGCCAGGCCGAGGAGGAGAGCCGGCTGTGCGCTCGGGAGGCCGAGGCCCTGCAGCGCCAGGCCCTGGAGCTGGAGCAGCTGCGCGCGCTGCTGGAAGAAGAGCTGATGCGGATGCGGGAGGCCTACGAGCTGCAGGCCCTGGAGCGGCAGGTCCGTGCACAGGGACCCGCCGCCCCATCCCAGCTCCCCGGTGCGCCCTGCAGGGGGATAGGGGAGCTGCGGGGCTCCCCGGACCCACAGCGCCTTCACCGGGCGTCACCCGTGGGTGGGGTCGGTCGGCCCCGAGGGTGCCCTTGCTCTGCCTCAGGACCTCAGGGTCCCAGCAGCTCTGCAGCCCAGGAAAATGGGCTCCTTGGCCCAGGACTCCGAGGGCCAGTGCCAAGTGCCGTGTCATCTTTAAAAAAAAATTTTTTTTAAATTGATGTCAGAGAGGAAGGGAGAGAGAGAGAAACATCCATGATGAGAGAGAATCATGGACCCGCTGCCTCCCGAACACCCCACGCTGGGGATGGAGCCCGCAACCCAAGCATGTGGCCTTGATTGGGAATCGAACCTGGGAACCTCCATAGGTGGATGCTCTATCCACTGAGCCAGAGCAGCTAGAAACAGAGATTGTGTGTGTGTTAGGAATAGAGGGGTGTGTGTGTGTGTGGAACAGGGATGTATGTGTATGTGTTAGGACAGGTGTGTGTGTGTGTGTGTGTGTGTTAGGAACAGAGGTGTGTGTGTGTGTGTGTGTGTGTGTGTGTAACAGGGATGTATGTGTATGTGTTAGGACAGGTGTGTGTGTGTGTGTGTGTCACTGTGGGAGCTGAAGCCAGGGCTCTGGGGAGTGTAATAGCCAGGGGGACGCGGCCGGAGGCAGGCTGTTATAACAAGAGCAGAGTTAGGTAAACAGCTGCCATTTCGGAGAAGCGCAGGCCCAAACCTCGGACTCCGAGGGGTGACACCCATGTGTGATTTACTGTCCATCCTCCCCGCCCAGCCTCGGACAGAACTGGGAATGTTCCCAAACCCTCCTATCAGCGGTTCCCGGGAGGACGGCTTAAAATAACCCGCCCATAAATGCAGAAGGTTTTTTTTTTTTAAGGGAACAGTGTGCGGCCCCGAGTTTAAAGACGGGCGATCGGGTGATGTTGGGATGCAAGGCGGGGTTGGAAGAGGCTGCTCACTCAGAGACTTGCGGTGTGGGCTGAATCCTCGCCATTCCTTCGCCGTCTCGGCTCACTCAGCTCATCTCGGACCTCGAAACTCTGGTTTCAGTCTTATTTTTTTAGGGGTAGAAAGAACCCCTTTTAAAAATATTTTTAAATATTTTTTTAAAAAAATAAATTGAAGAGAGAGGGAGATAGAGAGAAACGTTGCCGAGAAGCATCATGGATTGGCTGCCTCCTGCACGCCCCCTCATGGGGATGGACCCCGGTCTGTGCGCTGACTGGGAATTCAACTGGTTTGTCGGTCCACGCTCTGCCACTGAACCACACTAGCCAGGCCCAAGTCCGAAGCTTTATTCCATCAGTGGGATGGATTAAAATTTCTCTGGAGAGCGCCCTAGCTGGTTTTGCTTAGAGGATAGAGCATTGGTCTGCGAACTAAGGTGTCCCGAGTTGATTCCGGTCAGGGGCACATGCCTGGGTTGCAGACTCCATCATCCCCTTAGTGGCAGGAAGGCAACTAATTAATGATTCTCATCATTGATGTTTCTATCTCTCTCTCCCTCTCGCTTCCTCTCTGAAATCATTAAAAATGTTTAAAATCTCTTTAAATTCATTAACTCATTCGTGTTTTTTTTTTTTTAAAAAGGGGCATATACCTCAGTTGCAGGCTCAGTCCCCAGCCGGTTGGTGTGTCTCTAACATCGATGTTTCTCTCTCTCCCCCTCCTCCCTTCCATTCTCTCAAAAAAAAAAAAAAATCGATGGAAAATATCCTTGGGTGAGGATAAAAAACAAAACAAAACACACACATCTTTCATATGTAATAATAATAATAATAATAATTAATAATAATAAAAACAAAACATTTCTATGTGGAACAAATGCCCCAGTTAAAACCATCCTTGCTGTGACTGCCTCTTTAACCTGGAGGGCTTCCATCTCGCTGTGTCCTGGGCTGTTGGTACCGCAGGCTGGACCCAGCGAAGCTCGGGGCCTCAGCTTGAGCACCATCTCCTTTTTCTAGAGTGCCATTGCCCGCCTGGAGGATGAGAAGGCTGCCCTCACCTTGGCCATGGCCGACCGTCTGCGGGACCATCAGGAGCTGGTGCAGGTGAAGACCAGCCTCAGCCTGGAGGTGGCAACCTATCGGTAAGGATGGGCTCCAGGCTGCTCCAGGCTGTTGTCCTGGCAACTGAGGAGGGGCCGTTGTCATGGCAACAGAGGAAGGACTGTTGTCCTGGCAACGGAGGAGGGGCCATTGCCCTGGAAACAGAGGAGTGGCTGATGTCCTAGCAACAGAGGAGGACCTGTTGTCCTGGCAACAGAGAAGGGGCTGTTGTCCTGGCAACGGAGGAGGGGTTGTTTCCCAGCCATCCCAGTGGAACTCCAGGGTCCAGCTCTCAGGCTCTCCTGGGTGATGCATCCATCTCTGGCCAGGGAACAGAGTGCCTCATGAGTCACATGGGCTGAGGCTGGGGTGAGAGGTGCCCCAAACCTGGCACCACTCTAGAGCGGATGCTGGGCCGGCCCGGAAAGCCCAGCTCTGTGCCAGTGTTAAGTAACCCTGGATGCCAGGCCAGTCTTTCCTGCAGGGATCTTCCTGTTTCCTCTCTGGGATAGTTTTCTGGGCTGCAAAAAAAGGAGACTCTGATTTTGTGCTTTGTCTCTGGGATTTTTGTGTTTCTTTTTAACATATATTTGTGTTGGTTTTAGAGAGGAAGGGAGAGGGGAGAGATAAAAACATCCATGATGAGAGAGAATCATGGGTCACCTGCCTTCTGCACACCCCACGGGGGGAATTGAGCCCACAAACCCGGGCATATGCCCTGACGGGGAATCGAACCGTGACCTCCTGGTTCAAAGGCCAACGCTCAACCCCTGAGCCACGCCGGCCGGGCTTGTCCCGACTCGTTAATGAGGCCGAAGACCTGGTTTTCTCACACGTGTCCGCTTATTTTCGTGCTGCGGAGACCGCCGGCCCGCGGAGCCACATGGAACGGTCACAAATAGCCGCTGAGTCAGGAGGCTGGCATCTCGCAGTTCCCAAGGCCCGAGGGCCGGTTCCCTCGCCTCAAAATAACCAGAGACGCCCTACCCGCTTCTTAAAGCCATACGAGTCTCCTCCTTAGAGATAGTCCTTTGAGCCCAGCTGGCGTGGCTCCGTGGCTGAGCGTCAACCTAGCAACCAGGAAAGTGGTCACGGTTCGATTCCTGGTCAGGGCACAGGCCCGGGTTGGGGGCTCGATCCCCAGTGCAGGGCCTGCAGGAGGCAGCTGACCCATGATTCTCTCTCATCATCCATGTTTCTCTCCCTCTCCCTTCCTTTCTGAAATCAATAATAAAAAAAATATATGAAGGGGAAAAACAGAAGGGGTTCCCCTTGGCTTGCTTCCTTCCCCCTGCCTCCCCACCCCCTCCGACCACAAAGTTCCTGTATCCGTGGGAATCACCATCCTTGGAATCAGTGGGCATGAAACCTAGTTCCTGTTTGCCTGGTTCCCGGCCCTGGCGTCCCATCTCTGCTTCCCTGCCCGGCTCTCCATGGCCATCGGCAGCTGCTGCCCACCCGTGGCCATCCACGGGGTGTGATTTCTTGGAAGGGAAGTCAGTGACAATTGTTGTGCCTGCAGTCTCTTCAAGCAAGGGACACGCCGGGCCAGCCCAGCCCTAGCACGCCCTCCGCCGGCCCACAGCTGGCGTGGCCACCGTGTCCTCTCCGTGGCCAACGGGAATCACAGCTTGATGAAGATGCTACAGTTTCAGACTGTTGGAGCTAGATGTGGCCAGAGAAGTCACCTGATCGAATGCTTTTTGAGTTTTATTCAAAGAGCTCAGAAGATGGGTGGGCGTAGGAGGCGGGGAGTGGCTCACAATTTCTGCTTCTCTTCTCCTACCTGCCTCCCCTCTCTCCTCTCTCTCTTTAATATATGTATTATTGATTTTAGAGAGGAAGGGAAAGGGAGAGAGAGAAACATCCACGATGAGAATCTATCATGGATCGGCTGCCTCCTGCCTACCCCATACCGGGGATGGAGAGCCCACAACCTGGGCCTGTGCCCTTAACCGGGAATGGAACCGTGACCTCCTGGTTCATAGATGGATGCTCAACCACTGAGCCACCCCAGCCAGGCTCCTCTCTCCATCTCTCTCTCTCTCTCTCTCTCTCTCTCTCTCTCTCTCTCTCTCATTTTGTCCATTCGGTTGGATGGATGCTCTACCCACCAGGTCTGCGTTCGGACGCGCGTCCTCAGACACAGAGCCTGTGACAATGTGGCCATCGACCGAGGACGCCACAGGGCGGCCTGACAGGGCCCGTCGTGTGCTCTATTTCCTAATGAGTTGTTGTTGTTATTATTATTATTTTATTATTTCTGCAGAGCCTTGTTGGAAGGAGAAAGTAATCCAGAAATACAGATCCTGGCAGAGCGCCTGGAACACCTGCCCCGAGGTAAAGACTGGACTGAGGGGTCCTGGGTTTGATTCCCGGGGTTGTGGGCTTACACTAACCACCGAGGACCCCAGCCAGGGCTCTCGCGCTGTGTTTTACGGTGACGGGATCGTTTGGAGAGTAGAAACTATCTTACTTATGATAACAGTTCCGTGGTGATAGTGTGTGTTTATCAGGGTGGGATCGGCCTGGAGGGGATGCTTTCATGACAGAAAAGGGTCCCGATGATCCTTGTGCTAATGAACCGTTCGATTCCCACAGAGCTCAGAACCACGGCCTACGGTTATACCAACGCCGGTTATACCAACGCAGCGTTCCGGAGGGAAATGAGGGAAAACGAGCGGAATCTGTTCCTGAGGCACAAGCCGCCACCTCGGGGGAATGTCCGCCGCAGCTGGGCATGGCCGGCCCCGCCTGCACCCAGGAGGCCCTTCCCGGGCCCGGGATCTCCTGCCCCGACCCCCGCCTGGCGTGAGACCGCCTACGAGAAAACCACCACCAGCAGCCAGGCCAGTTCCAGGACTTTCTCTCCGGCGTACAGGGGGCTCGGGAGGAAAGCTGAGGTCCCGGTGAAGCCGAGAACCGAAGGCACCAAGGCGCGTCTAGCCAGAGAGCCCAGCCCCGCCCGGGAGCCCTACCGAGTCCTTGGGGACCGAAGGGCGGCGGGCGCTTCCGAAGGCACCGAGGAGAGGATCGTCATTTTGGGGAAGAAGGTGACGACGACAACGGGAGCTCGGGCCGCGAGCGAGCCGGAGAGAGGCCGCCCGGGGACGGCGGTCCACGGGAGGCGGGACGAGAAGATGTTCGACTCGAAGGAGAAGGCGTCCGAGGAGCGGAACCTGCGGTGGGAGGAGCTGACCAAGCTGGACAAGGAGGCGAGGGAGCGAGAGAGCGAGCTGCGGAGGGACAGGGCGAAGGGGAAGGAGCCCGCCGCCCGGGAGACGGGCGTGCGGGTGCGAGAGGTCCCCATCCGCCTGGAAGGGTCCCGGGCCGGCCAGGCCGAGGAAGGGACCCCCAAAGGGGCCCGGACACCCCTGCCGAAGGATGCAGGCGGCGGCCTGGGGGGAGGGATGGACACGAGGAGAGAGACGAGGTTCGGGTTGGACGCCGGGGGCTCGCCCGGGGGCCAGGCCGCCACGACCGAGACCATCGCCGAGAGCATCGTGTCAAGCGTGCTGAAGCGGTTCACCCAGTCCCCCGAGGCCGAGGCCCAGGCCCCGCCGCCGGCGGACACGAAGGTCACGTACGTGGGCAGGACGGAGCTCCCCGGGGAGCGGAGAGCCAAGACGGAGATCGTGGTGGAGTCGAGACGGACCGAGGAGGTGGACGTGCGGGAGGGGGCCGGCCTGGACGCCCTCCTGAGCCCCGGCGGGCCGGCCGGCGGCCTGGAGCTGAAGGGCAAGGCCCGGGAGCGGGCGATCGGAGACCTCCTGAGCCTCGGGCTGCAGGGCCGGGAGGGCCGGGCCAAGGTGGTGAACGTGGAGATCGTGGAGGAGCCCGTGAGCTACGCGGCGGGCGCGAGGACGGAGGAGTTTTCCACCCCCTTCCGTGTGGAGGAGGCGGACGATGCGTCCCCCCCGGGGTGCAGGGCGGAGGAGGAGGAGGAGGAGGAGGAGGAGGACCTGTATGGGGTCACGGAGGTCGCCTTCTCCGCCGATCGCCGATCGCGTGAGACATCCAGGAAATCAGAGCGGGTGTCCCGGGTGGAGGAGGTGACGGAGGCGGGCGACTCGGAGGAGGAGGAGGAGCAGCAGAGCTATTTCGTGTCCACCCCGGAGGAAGGTCCCGAGGAACGCGGCGGCTTTGGGCGGGACGGGGCCGCCAGGGCCGCGGGGGGCTCGGCGTACGGGCAGATCCACATCGAAGAGGAGTCCACCATCCGGTACTCCTGGCAGGACGAGATCGTGCCGGCGTCCGGGAGGAGGCGGCTCGCGGGGCCCCCGTGGGGCGGGGAGACCACGGCGGCGGCGGCGGCGGCGGCGGCGGCGGATGCTCCGGAATCTCCCCCGGAGCCCGAGGTCGGCTCCCCGCACTGGATCGAGGAGACGACCCGCGGCGAGGTCCGCGCGGAGGCCACGGTCACCGACAAGGAGATCAAGATCCCGCGCCGGTTCCACTCGTCCATCAGCCGCGACTTCAAGGAGCCCCGGCACCAGCTGGCGGAGGCGATGGGGCAGCTGGAGGAGAGCCTGCCCGAGCGGGTGAGGGAGGAGCTGTCGGCCCTCGCCAGCCAGGACCGGGCCGGCCTGGGCCACCTCTCCGTGGACGTGAAGAAGGTCCAGCCCTCGGGCGGCGGCGCCATGACCCTGGTGGCCGAGGTCAACCTGTCCCAGACGGTGGACACCGACCAGCTGGACCTGGAGGAGCTGAGCAAAGACGAGGCGGGCGAGATCGAGCAGGCCGTGGAGGCCGTGGTGCGGGACAGCCTGGCCAAGCGGCGCAGCCCGGGGCCCGGGAGCCCCGACGGGGACGCGGGAGGGCCGGCGCCGGCCACCGGCTACGGCTTCAAGCGCTGGGCCACCCAGGAGCTGTACCGGGCCTCCGCCGGGGAGGAGGGGGAGGAGGAGGACGCCGGCTGGGCGTCCCACAGCTCAGAGACCGTCACCGCCACACAGGGCCCCGTGTCGGCCACCGTGGAGGTCACCAGCCCGCGGGGCTTTGCCCGATCGCACCTGCTGGAGGAGGTCAGCTCGTCCGTCAGGCACGTGAAAATAGGCCCCTCTGGGGTCTGGAGGACCGAGCAGGCCCCCCCCGAGGGACCGCCTGCAGGACAGGTGAGTGGGGAAGGTGGCTGGGGCCGGGCAGCCAGTTCCGAGGGAGCCCGCTGTTTTTTCAAAAAATATATATTTTATTGATTTTTTTTACAGAGAGGAAGGGAGAGAGATAGAGAGTGAGAAACATCGATGAGAGAGCATCATCGATCAGCTGCCTCCCGCACGCCTCCCTACTGAGGATCGAGCCCGCAACCTGGCATGTGCCCTGACCGGGAATCGAACCCTGACCCCCTGGTTCACAGGTCAATGCTCAGCCACTGAGCCACCGCCAGCTGGGCATGAGCAGATCCTTTAGGCACCGAGGTCTTACAGAAACACAAACCTCTGAGCTGCTGCCTTCTGTGGGCATATATATATATTAAAAAAAAAAAAATATATATATATATATATAATTTTTTATTTTTTTATTTTATTGATTTTTTATAGAGATGAAGGGAGAGGGATTGAGAGCTAGAAACATCGACGAGAGAGAAACATTCATCAGCTGCCTCCTGCACACCTCCCACTGGGGATGTTTTTCCCCAATCAAGGTCCACGCCCTTGACTAGAATCGAACCTGGGACCTCTCAGTCCGCAGGCCGACGCTCTATCCACTGAGCCACACTGGCCCATTTCTAAGACATTGGCCCTGGGCCAGTTCTGTGGGCTTGCTTCCCGGAGGAGCTAGGCGAGTCTGCAGGCAGCAGGACACCACGGCAGGGGGTACTGGGCCCCAAAGGAACTGCGTTTTACCTTTCAGATGGACGTGAGTCCCCCGGAGGGGACCCCCCGCTGGGCCCGAGAGACCACGGTCCTGTTCGCCACGGGCACGGAAGGGGATGCTCACAGCGCTACGTGGAGAGAGGCCGGCCGGGAGCAGGACCAGGCGGCCGGCGTGGCCGCCTCCCAGGAGCAGGCTGGGTTCGACCGGGCGGTGCAGCTGCAGAGGATGGTGGACCAGCGGTCGGTGATCTCGGACGAGAAGAAAGTGGCCGTTCTCTACCTGGACCACCAGGGGGACGAGGACGATGGACACTGGTTCTGAGGATGTCTCTGTGTCTGATGGTACTTGGTTTCATCACATATCCACACACAGAGGCCTTGGCTGCATTGCAAGTGGGGGTGGGCTGCAGGGGGGGGGGAGGGAGGGAAGAGTTCCCTCTTTCCTGAAACCTCCCCTTTCTTTTTTAATTTCTCCAAAGAGGACGCCAGGGGATGTCAATTTGCTTTGCAGCCTAGAAAGGTGTTGAAGGAATGAATGTATGTCTTAAAAGGCACCGGAGTTTTTTATCTTTGAGTTGGGGCTTTTCAAAAATACTGTTTATTTCTATAGCCTTAAAAGTTGGTATTTAAAAAAAAATGTATTTTATTTTATTTTATTTTTTTTCACAGAGAAGAAGGGAGAGGGATAGAGAGATAGAAACATCAATGTGAGAGAAACATCAATAAGCTGCCTCCTGCACACTCCCTACTGGGGATGTGCCCGCAACCAAGGTACATGCCCTTGACCAGAATCGAACCTGGGACCCTTCAGGCCGCAGGCCGAGGCTCTATCCACTGAGCTAAATTAGTCAGGGCTGTATTTTTGTTTTTAATATTTTTTTAATTGATTTCAAAGAGAGAGAGAGAGAGAGAGAGACACCACTGATGGGAGAGAATCACTGATCGGCTGCCTCCTGCATGCCCCACACTGGGGATTGAGCCCACAACCTGCGTGTTGAACAGGTACCTTTTGGCTCATAGGTTGACACTCAACTACCGAGCCATGCCGGCTGGGCCTAAAAGTTCTTTTTTCTTCTTTTTTTCTCTCCCTGGAGTTTTTGCTCCTGGGGATGGTTTGCACCAGTTTGCACCTGGTCACAGACACAGTTTGCACCTCTACCTTTAGGTAAGCTGCCGAACTGGCAACCTTATGGACAAGAGTTACATATTACAGAGAACTTTATCTTTGCATGTGCTACTAAGAAATAGTCTACTAACCTTGTAAGAAAAAAAAACAAACAAAACAATGCACTTTTCTCTTTCTGGAGTCTTTTCAGAAAGAAATCGTAGGAGATAAGCAGATGGCTCACTTGAAGAGAAATCTACATGAGTCCATCTTTAGGAAAAAGTTACACGTCTTAGAGTTTAAACACACTGCAAGACTTGAATGAATTGCATTTTCTGTGCAGAATTTTAGAAAATAGGGCGTTTTATTTATGAAGAGGGTAGCTCCAGGCTGTTGCGGCATTTCATTTTTTTAAGAATATATTTTTATTGATTTCAGAGAGGGAGAGAGAGAGAGAAACATTGATGGGAGAGAACCATGGATCAACTGCCTCCTGCACGCCCCCTAGTGGGGATGGAGCCCACAATCCAGGCATGAGTCCTGCCTGGGAATCGAACCGTGACCCCCGGGTTCATAGGTCGATGCTCAACCACTGAGCTAAGCCAGCTGTGCTGAAAGCTTCCGTCTTTAAAGGTGTAACGTCACGTGAAAACTAGTATTTCAGACACCCCGGTGTTATTTTAATCTAAGCTAGTTTTTTTGCCTACCATGTTGCCTAGACTATGCTTCCTCCAGCAGCATTCTAGACCCTCCTGGGGGGCAGAGGAGTAACGAGGCAGGTGATGGCACCCTCAGGTAGGTCATGGCCTCGGGGGTTGAGTGTGGCATTTGAGGTCCTTCTCTCTGGGTGTCACCGAGACGGTCCTTGGGCCCCCGAGATGCACATCTTCCCTGCTTCAAGGAATGTTTAGCGCAATGGTTGGCAAACTCATTAGTCCACAGAGCCAAATATTAACAATATGACGATTGAAATTTCTTTGGAAAGCCACATTTTTTAAAAATATATATTTTATTGATTTTTTTACAGAGAGGAAGGGGGAGAGAGAGAGAGAGAGCTAGAAACATCGATGAGAGAGAAACATCGACCAGCTGCCTCTTGCACACCCCCTACCGGGGATGTGCCCGCAGCCAATGTATGTGCCCCTGACCGGAATCGAACCTGGGACCTTTCAGTCCGCAGACCGATGCTCTATCCACTGAGCCAAACCGGTTTCGGCCTGGAGAGCCAAATTTTTTAAACTTAAACGATAGAGGTAGGTTCACCGTTATTAACTTCATTAGGGCACTCCTGAGCTGGCCTTTGCTGAAAACTCGAGGGGCCAAAGAGTTCTGGCTCGCATATGGCTCTCGAGCCGCAGTTTGCCGACCACTGGGTTAGGGCGTTGGTCTCCGTCATGGATAAGTGGAGAATAAGAGAGCATGGCGATTGGGATGAGGACATGCTTTTCCATTCATTGTTGTTTCACTGTCATAGTATTCTCGGACTGCGTCTCACCTTCCTGTTGCTGTTTCGAGACTGGTTAAAATGCACATTGAGAATGGCCTCCTCGGAAAGGCTTACCTTGCTAACTAACCTCCTGTTCCCCACGAAGGGAAATGTCACAAATGAATGTGTAAAAATAAAAACCTAAAAAAATAAAATAAAAATAAACCCTGGCATTGCCACGCGAGAGAATGAATGTTCTCTGGTGGGGGTGTGTGTGTGTTTCCTATGTGAACACGAATGAAAACATGTGTTCACACGCATGCTTTTCATGAGGAACCACGGCAGAACCACGTGAAAACCCCTGTTCTTTAATCCAGCCACGACTTGACCCGGTCAGTCAACACAGAGCTAGAAGGTGTGGCCGACGGGGCAGGGGGCCTGGTGGCTGGTGCTCAAATACGGACTGGTGTGCGGTAAGAATGTCCCCCCGTCCCCACCAGGGAGCCTGGTGGCAGGAGATGGGAGTGGTGACTGCCTCTTTCCCCTTCTTCCCACGCGGCCTCCGTGCCACAGGCCCGTCTGGGGTGGGCGGGCGGGTGTGAGAGGGGTGTGTGGTCGCTGTCACACCCCTGAGGAGGAACGGACCCTGCCTCCCTGCATCCTGTCACTCGGATCTTTGTTTTCCCTGTGGATTCTTTTTTTTTTAAATATATGTTATTGATTTTTTACAGAGAGGAAGGGAGAGAGACAGAGAGCTAGAAACGTCGATGAGAGAGAAACATCGACCAGCTGCCTCTTGTACACCCCCTACCGGGGATGTGCCCGCAGCCAATGTACATGCCCCTGACCAGAATCGAACCTGGGACCTTTCAGTCCGCAGACCGACGCTCTACCGCTGAGCCAAACCGGTTTCGGCTCTCCGTGGATTCTTGAGGTGGCCTCTGTCACAGACGGAACCACAGTGGGTTGCGGTGAGGGCGCCAGCTTGCAGCCCAGGAAAAGCCGAGGGGGACGGGGGGCGGGGGAGAGGAACCACCCACACATACCGACTCCGGCACCTTCACGCTCCTTTCGCCAGCCTTTTATTCTCCATCCCCATCGCCTTCCTGTGAGAAAGTCCCCATTTTTCCAGAACTGAACTCCAAGTGGGACCCCCGGCCGGGGCTGAGGGCTGTGTGCGCAGCGAGGTGCCGAGTCTCTTTCCCACGTGGGAAGCCTTGACCTTTTGGAGAGAGGAGCGTGCTGATAGGGAAAGGCGCTGGTTGGCACGAAGAACCGCTTCGGAGGTAACGAGGAAGCTGCTTATGGGAGCACCAGGGGCCAAGGCCATGCCCTGCCAGCAGGGCCCGGAGACGTGGGGCCCCGGGCTGCTTTGAGGATTGGCACGGTGCCCGCTGGCGCCACCTCCCGGTGGGGGAGGCGTGCAGCTGGCGCCCGGGCCTGCCCAGCTGTCCTCGGGGTGCGGGTGCGTGTCTCAGTCCGCCACGTGGGGCCTGGCCCTCCAGGGCGCTGCGTGCTGGGCCTTGCCGGTGCAGAAGGCGGGCCTGGCTCTGGCTCTTGAGGCCGACCTCAGCTTCACGGTGGCCATCTCGGGGGCCCTGCGAGCAAGCGGAGGGTGGTGAGTGGGGCGCCCCTGGGACCCCCGTCCCGCGTCCCCCCACCCCCCACCCCGCCTGCTGTGGGACAGCCCGGCAGCTCCCGGTTAGATTTCACGGAGGAGACAGCCGATCAATGATTCTCTCTCATCATTGATGCTTCTCTCTCTCCCTCTCTCTTCCTCTCTGGAAATCAATTTAAAAAAAACTAACAAACACATTAAAAAAAATACAATATAATCAGAATTTAAATCTTAAAGAAAAGAAAAACGTGGGTGAAGTCAGAGGGCTCTCGGGCTCCCATCTTGAGCCCCACGCAGGTTCCAGTGGGCCCAGGCAGTGCTGGGAGCCAGCATCCCCCGGAAAGACCCGGTGGCCTGCAGGCGGCTGGTCGGTCGGCAGGAGGATGCATCCCAGCTCCTGTTTCAAGAGCTAATTCCTCCTCAGGACTGAGGCACCAGGAGGGTATTTCACAGCCGGGCTGCCGAGGAGCTGGGCTTGCGCGGTGTCTGAATAACGGGAAATCGGTACGGCTTTCCACGCATGGACAGTTCCCAGAGCCCACAGACCGGCTTCCAGGAGGTTCCGGACGACCGAGGAGCGAGGTGCCCAGGGGACAGCGAGGGAACGGCGAGAGCATGCCGACTCACTTGGACAGCACGTCCAGGGCCTGCTGGGTGGCCAGCGTCCGCCGGTCCTGCGGTCCGTACAAGAGGGTCTGAATCTGGAGACACTGCAGGACACCAAGCAGTCACCGTGAGGGTGGGGAATGTCACGAAGAGCACGCAGCAGCAGGACGAGGCTCCCGAAAATGGGAGAGACTGCTTCAGACGCAGGCCTGTCTGACCACTGAATGCCAGGGACCGTCTGACCTTCACTGTGAACGCCAGGGACCGTCTGACCTTCACTGTGAACGCCAGGGACCGCCTGACCTTCACTGTGAATGCCAGGGACCGTCTGACCTTCACTGTGAATGCCAGGGATCGTCTGACCTTCACTGAGAATGCCAGGGACCGTCTGACCTTCACTGTGAATGCCAGGGACCGTCTGACCTTTACTGTGAATGCTAAGGACCGTCTGACCTTCAACTTGGATGTTCCAAGGGATCCTGGAAACAAATGTACAGCGCTCTAGCACTGTTATAGAATCCTCTGTGACAACCTGTACGCAAAAACATGTTTCAAAATTATCTATTTTTACAAATAAAGGCAAGAGAATTGGTATTCATGAGAGGATGGTGTCCGGTTTATTTTTGAATAACCCTTGCTATAGCCCAGACAAGTTAAAAATAAAAATTGTGTGCCCTGCCCAGCGTGGCTCAGTTGGTTGGGCGTCGCCCTGTGCACCCAGAAGTTGCCGGTTCGATTCCCAGATCAGGGCACACGTCCGGGGTGTGGGGCGTGCAGAAGGCAGCCAATTCACGTTACGCTCTCTCACGGCGATGATTCTCTCTTTTCCCTTCCTCTCTCTCTCTCAAAATCAATAAACTATTGTTCTATTTTCTATGGGCTTTCTGTAATCATGACTACACAGCAATCTCCTAGGGAGTCACTTATTGAGGAGTTGAACATTCAGCTCTATTCTGCTGATTATCCCGCCATTGGACTGCCTGCAGCTGGCCAGGGCAATCTCAAGGGGAAGCTAAAGACTCACTCTGTACCCCCAAACGGGCAAAGTAATTTTGAAGAGGAATGAGGTGGAGGGAACTGATTTCCCGTCACCATCTTCATGAAACTCTAGCAATGAAGGCAGCGCGCTCTCATCCTGAGCAGACAAGTAGGCCAACGGGACATGGCAGAGGGTCCAACATGACAGATGACAGGAGAGAAGCGACCTTGAGGGGTCGGCGAGGGAGAGCTGAGCTCGTCAATGGATGGAACTGGAAGGAAATGGACCCCTGCCCTCTGCGACGCCCAGCAAGGAATCCGGGCTGGTGGAAGAGCTAAATAAGAAATGCAAGACTTGGAACTTTTAGGGGAAAATATTGGAGATGACCTTTATGCAGTAGTTGTTCCTGGACAAGATCAGAAGTATTATAGTTCTTGGATAAGATCTGGACAAACCAGAAGATCTGATTCATAAAATTTAACTACACTGAACACTCAAAACTGAAAACATGTATGCACCAGAATTCACCTTAAGCAAAGTATACGGATTGGATGGGGGAGGAGGGGAAGGAAGACACTGCACAAAGCAGAGGAGAAAGGATCAGCATGCAGAAGAGACCAAGAACTCCTACAAGGTAACGAGAGACACGAACACAACCTCCCCACGGAAAAGGGATCGCAAGATAGGAAAGGATTATTCAAAGACCTTGAAAAACAGAACAGCGGCTGAGCATGCCGATCTCACAGGCAACCGGAAACCACCTAAAAGCTCTCTGAGGTCGCCCTTCACCTGGCGGATTGCAAAAGGAACCACTTTACAATGGCCCAATCCAAGGCCTGTCAAAGAAATGAATGAGCAAGCACGCCTTCGTACAAACTGAGAGTCATTCAGTAACTCGGCTAAGGCAGCCGTCGGCAAACTCATGAATCGACAGAGTCCAATATCGACAGTACGATTGAAATTTGAGAGCCAAATTTTTTAAACTGAAACTTCTAACGCCACTTCTTCAAAATAGATCACCCAGGCCGTGGTATTTTGTGGAAGGGCCTCACACAAGGGGCCAAAGAGCCACATGGGGCTCACGAAGCCGCAGTTTGCCGACCACGGGGCTAATGGATGAATAACCTGTAACATGCCCATGGATTGTATATGCGTGATATCCATGTTTGGGGTGTGTGTGTGTGTGTGTGTGTCCATGTAGATGAATCTCATGATGCTAGGCAGAAAAAAAGCAAATTGAGATGAATGCAAATTATAGAGATAATATACGCACATTTTATAGGAAGCTTAAAAAAAACATGTAAAGGAAAACCACAGTAAAATACAGCGTGGGAATGATGTCAAACGCAGGGTAGCAGTCACCCCGTATGGGGCGGGCGGGGTAGGAGCGGGCACTTCCTTCCTGAAAGTCATGTTTTGAATCTTCTATCAAACAGTGACCTCAGGCGCTCTTTGAAAGGATCATTCAAAGGGGCCCCAAGCCCCTGCACACCCCTGGCCGTGGGGAAGATTTTCTGGGCTTTCTCCGTTCCTCCAGGGAAAACCCTGTTGGAAACCAGCCTTGAGGAGGGAGGTTTCTCACTTTTCTTTAAGTGGACAAAACCCTGAAATCCTGAGTATCCAGGTGAATCTTAATTAATTAAAAACAAAAAAAAAAACAAAAACAAGGAATATGGGCTGTGAAAGGGGAAGGTCGGTGGTGGCAGAGGGTACCTGGGTCAGACCCCAAATGGGGCCGGGGTCAGCCAGGTGAGCGGCATCGTGGGGAGGAGGGGGTGGGCGTGGGGTTTCAGGCAGGTGCATATCTCTCTCTCTCTCTCTCTCTCTCTCTCTCTCTCTCTCTCTCTCACATGCACACGCACCCCTGCAGCCCCCTTACCTGGGGGAGCACTAACTGAGCTGTGCACAGGAGGGCAGGGAGGGTCCCATGATGAGTGAGAAAGTGGGGCGGGGGGTAGGCAGTGCCACTCCCTCCGCTGCTCTTCCCGGGCCTGGAAAGCCTGGGTGCCACCCTCACTCCTCACCTCTGCGTTGCCAAGTGCCGTGAGCTCTCTATCCTTATCGACACCCCTCGACTCTCCCACGACTCTGCTCCATCCCCTGGCCACTGTCTTGGAGCAAGCTACCATCATCCTTCTCCAGCACAGCTGCAACACAAATGGGCAGAGGACAGATGCATCATGGGGGCACGGCAGGATCCCCCTCCACAGCCAGCCGGGGTGGCTCAGTGGTTGTGGGCTGACTTAAGATCCAGGAGGTCACCCCAGTCAGGGCACATGTCCGGGTTGCGGGCCTGACGTGCAGGAGGCAGCCGACCCATGATTCTCTCTCATCATTGATGTTTCTCTCTCGCTCTCCCTCTCTCTTCCTCTCTGAAATCAATAAAAAATATATATATAAAAAGAAACTAATAAAAGAGTAACCTCGTGGGCCATAGGAGAGCCGGGAGTGGGCTGGATCCGGCCTCAGAGCCCATCGTTGGGATAGTCACCTGAAGGATCAAGTCTGGGCCCCTTCACCTAGGAACTCCCCCCACCCAGCCCCGCCCATGGCTTCCGGGTGCTCCCTGACAGACAGTCCTCCCCAGTCACTCTCTGCTTCTTCAATGGGGTGTACTCCCCAGCCCCCTCCCCCCCACCCCATTTCCAACCTGGGGATGCGGCTCTCCCCCAGGCCACCCTCTTTTTCATGACTACGTATTCAACAGACCTGATACAATACACAGATAAAATGCATTATACAACCGTACCCCTGAAGCCTACGTAACTTTATTAACCAACGTCACACCAATACATTCCATAAAAAAGTTAAAAAAAAGAAAATAAAATAAATGTAAGCTTCCATGTTATTTTTATGAAGCAGATATAACATTGAGACTCAAATACCACCCATAAATACTGGTGCAAAAATCACAAAATAAATATTCGCAGGCAGAATCTACCTCATATTAAGAATATAACTCAATATCACCATGCATATTTGTTCCAGGAATGCAAGGTTGGCTTAATGCTAGAATAAAATACACCATGTGAAGTGATCTAAGAAGAGTCATCTGATGATCTTCACGGATGCTAAAAAAACATTTGATAAAATCCAACACTTATTGCCAGTTAAAAAAACAAACCAAACCACATGATGCCTACTTCTTTAACATGATAAAAACATGGAAACTGTAGTCCCGAAGCCAGAATCCACTAAACAAAGACTCACTGGAGGAGGTCCACTGAGATCAGAACAAGACAAGGGCGCCTGCCACCCCCACTCCCACTCATTATTGTCCTGGAGGCGGGAACCGGTGCGATCAGACAAGAGAAATCAGGCAGAGCCTCCAGAGAAGTAAAAGGATTTGCAGATGATGTAACAGGATCTGCCCTGGAAACCCGAGAGAAGGCTCAAATTATCTCCGGCAGGAAAAGCCTTGAGCAAGCAGGCCCAGCACATAAAATTAACAGAGAGACCAGCCGTCTTCACGTACACAGAAAGGACCAGTCACACACACGTAACAGCGGACACAACCCCACAGACAACAGTATGAAAGAAGGTAAAATGCTTAGAAATCAACGTGGTCAGAAATGGGCAACACCCAGGATGAAGGGCCATTTTAAGTATATATATATATATTTTAATATATTTTATTGATTTTTACAGAGAGGAAGGGAGAGAGATAGAGAGCCAGAAACGTCGATGAGAGAGAAACATCGACCAGCTGCCTCCTGCACACCCCCCACCGGGGATGTGCCCGTAACCAAGGTACATGCCCTTGACCGGAATCGAACCCGGGACCTTTCACTCCGCAGTCCGATGCTCTTATCCATTGAGGCAAACCGGTTTCGGCTGAAGGGACACTTTAAAAAAACGGGCCTGCCTGATGCAAAAGTGGATGTCAACAAGTGTAAGGACATCCCTGCTCCTGAGTAAAATGACTCCATACCATTCAGATGTCAGTGCTCCTTAAGGATCATTTACAAACAACCCGATCCTCCAGAAAATACCACCAAGCTTTGTATCTAGCGAGACAGGCTGTTAACACTAAAATTCACGTGGAAGAAAACGACAAAAATAACGACAACAACACGTGCTAGAACACCTGGGAAACGGGATATTCTAGAGTCAGAGACACCACTCCTGGTGTCTCGTCCTCCCCGCTAGTGGACCGTGAGCTACGAAATCTCTACATTTAAAACCAACGAGGAACCGGCATTCACGCAAACAAAGCCGTCAGTGGAGAGAGAGAGAGAGAAATCCAGAGAGAGACTCAGGTTCACGTGGAAGCCTGGTATATATGGTGAAGGTGTGTTCTCAGACCAGTGGGCTCTTTAACAAAACGGTGCTGGACAACTGGCTAGCCATTTAGGAAAAAATAAAAATAAAAAATAAAAAATAAATAAATAAATAAATAAATAAATAAATAAGTTATATCCATACCTCACACCATCCACACAAACGAACTCCAAACTCAAGAAGAAACTGGTGATGGAAGGGCCTTGACTTGGGGTGACCACACAATACAATAGCCAGATGATGGGTTACAGAACTGTACCCTGGAAACCTAGGTCATTTTATTAACCGATGTCACCCCAGTACATTCAAATAAAAAAAAAAAAGAACTAAATATACAAGTACTAGAAGAACTCAAACACATTCCTCTATAAACTGTGTGCACAGAGAGAGTACAATAAAATAAGAGATACATTTGCGCTCCATAAAAATTAAAAAATGTTTTTACATGGCAAAAATAATGGATGATTCAGTAAAAAGATATATACACATATGTGCACGAGAGGATTGCTGTAGTTTTTACCGAAAAAAGAAAAAAAAGAAAAAAAGCGTTAGTTTAGATCAACTGTGAAAGTGAAGTCACCTTACCTAAATAAACTACTTAGAAAGGTCTATTTAAAAAGAGCATGGTGGCCTGGCCGGTGTGGCTCAGTGGTTGAGCATCGACCTATGAACCAGGAGATCATGGGTCAATTCCCGGTCAGGGCACCTGCCTGGGTTGTGGGCTCGCACCCCAGTGAGGGGCATGCAGGAGGCAGCCGATCCATGACTCTCTCTCATCACGGATGTTTCTATCTCTCTCTCCCTCTCCCATCCTCTCAGAAATCAATAAGTATATTTTAAAAATATATAAAAATAAAGAGAGCATGGGGAGGGAGAGAAGGTGGCCCATAGGGATGGAGGGAGGGAGGGAGGGAGGAAGGGGTGGAGGGCTTCTCTCTGCATCAGTGCCGGCTCCAGGCTTACTTTGTTCAGCTTCTTGTAGGCCCCGCTGTGGTTCCCCTGGGCCAGGTCGGCGCCACTCAGGAGCCGGTAGGTCTCTGCCACCTCGGGACTGAGGTCGCCAAACACCCCCACTTTGGCCTCCAGGGACCCCCTCAGGATCGAGGTCGCTTTCTGTGAAAGGGACGCAAAGTGGTCTGGTTAAAAATGTTCAAAAGCTGACGGGGATCAGGGCCCATTAGGAAAACGAGGGAGCCCGGCCAGCGTGGTTCAGTGGTCGAGCGTGGACCTATTAGGAACCAGGAGGGCAGGGTTCGATCGCCCGTCGGGGCGCATGCCCGATCCCCAGTAGGGGGCGTGCGGGAGGCAGCCGATCCACGATTCTCTCTCATCATGGATGTTTCCACCTCTCTCCCCCTCTTCTTCTCTGAAATAAAAAATCACATAGAGCCGAAACCGGGGTGGCTCAGTGGATAGAGCATCGGCCTGCGGACTGAAAGGTCCCAGGTTCGATTCCGGTCAAGGGCATGTACCTGAGTTGCGGGCACATCCCCCAGTGGGGGGTGTGCAGGAGGCAGCTGATCGATGATTCTCTCTCATCGATGTTTCTAATTCTCTGTCCCTCCTTCTTCCTCTCTGTAAAAAAAAAATCAATGAAATATATTTTTAAAAAAGCAACTGACAATTTTTTCTAGAATATATATATATATATGTGTGTGTGTGTGTGTGTATATATACATATATATATATATATATATATATATATATATATATATATATTTAAAAAAAGAAAGAAAATGATGTAACTCACTGCCTGACAGTGGCCACAAGGCCTTCCTCATCCATGCCTTGCACCCAGTAGACGCCTACTGGATGCTCGCAGGCACAGTGAGGGAGTCGCAGAGCCCTCTGGGTACCAACGGGGCCGCCCATGCAGACAGCCGGCCGGCTGCGGCCCACACTCCCTCACCTCCTCCTGCCCGGCGCCTTGCAGAAAATGGCAGTATTCATCCTGAACCGAGAGGAACTTGGCTCTCCCCGTCCCTTCCGCGTCCCTCAGGTGGGCCAGGCTCTCCTGGAAGTACCGCTCGGCCACATCTGAAGCAAAAAGCATCGAGACAACAACTGTGAAAAACGGCTCTCGGACTTGAGATGGAACCCACAGGCACGCCTGCGAACTGTCTGAAAATAATAAGCACTCGGGTAAGGGATCCCTGAACCCGGTGGAAGAGACTGTGTTTGCCCGTTCAGCTGCCTGCGTCGTCGGAAAAAGATTCGAACGCAGAAGGATATTTACTTTCCTCGCTTTTTTTTCAGACACCAGATCTCCCAGGGATGCAGCAATGCAAGATAATGGCTTCAAGAGACTCCTCTTTTTTCTTTTCTTTTCTTTACTGTTGATCCTCACCCGGGAATATTTTCCCACTGACTTTTAGAGAGTGGAAGGCAAGGAGACAGAGACGGAGAAACATCGATGTGAGAGAGAGAGAGAGACATCCGTTAGCTGCCTTCTGCTTGCGGTCTGACCCAGGCCGGGGATGGAGCCTGCCACCGAGGTCCAGGCACTGGACTGGGAATCGAACCTGGAACCCTTCAGTCCGAGGGCCGACGCTCTATCCACTGAGCCACTGTGGGGGAGGAGGTGGTGGTGGTGGTGTCTGTGCATTTCTAGAGTATTACTCCGCTTTGTTTTTCTCTCGGTGGGAGAAAATTCTACTGCCTGGAAAGTGTTCCTTTCCTTTTACTGGCAGCTGACTCATCGCAATTTAATGCTCAAACTCTATTCACTTTGCCTGTGTTGCTGAGGATCGGATGACAGCGAACGGGGCGAGATGCGGCATTTTTTTCTGCTGGCTCTCAAGGCACTGCCGACACCAGCAGTCCACGTCTCAAAACCAACGAGGGGAGTGTGCTGCAGAGTTCTGTTTTCTAGTTGGAAATGAACCGAAGGACGGGACCAGGCCCTTCCTGAAGAGTAAGGATAGTTCCCGGCTGGTGTGGCTCAGCGGTTGCGTGTCGACCCTGGGAACCGAGAGGTCGCCGGTTCGATGCCCGGTGGCGGGCTCAATGCCCAGGAGGGGGCGTGCAGGAGGCAGCTGATGGAGGATTCTCTCTTATCATGGTTGTTTCTATCCCTCTCCCCATCCCCCTTCCTCTCTGAAATCAATAAAGACGTATTTTAAGAACGTTTTAAACAAACACAACTCTCACTAGAAGTACACCACCACCACCATCACGAGAACGACTCTTCTAGAATCTTCAGGCGCTGGCCCGGGCTGCGGATGAGTCACCTTCTAAAGCAGAGGAGCTGGCTTAGCTGTAAACCTGAGCCCTCGGGGCACAGGTCAAGGCCATCAATCTCCTCCTGTGTCCACTCCCGTGGAACTCGTGGACTGCCTGTGGGCAGGGCAGGGCGGTAAGGTCCCCTCACGGGCCCCGTCAGACCCTGTTCCGTCTGTGTGACTTCCCTCAGAGAGCATGAGGAATACGGGGTCACAAGTGGGCACCCGGCAGGGCAGGAGGCTTTCATGAAAATCAATCCCTGTAGCCCGGCCTGAGGCGTGGCTCCGTGGATGAGCATCAACCTGAGATCTGAGAGGTCAGGGTTCGATTCCCAGTCAGGACTCTTGCCCGGCTCGTGGGCTCGATCCCCAAGTAGGAGGCGGGCAGGAGGCAGCCGACCCATGATTCTCTCTCATCGTGGATGTTCCCCTCTCTCTCTCTCAATCTCTCTCTCTCTCTCTCTCTCGCCCTCTCCCTTCCTGTCTGAAATCAATAAAATATATTTTAAAAATAGATGAAAAATAGATAGAATATATTTTAAAAATAGATAGAACAGCAATTCCTGCAACTCCCCGGGCAGCGTGCACGTAAAGGGAGCTGTGTGTGCCCGACAACAATGATCCTTTGTGATGGTCTTGGGAAAGACTGCGCTCTGTGCTGAAGCATAAGGACCCCCAGGGGATTTGAAGATGGAAAGTCTTAAGAGCTCAGCTTGGCATGAACCCCGAGGACCCACCAAGATCCTGCGGGGCAGGCCAAGAGGGCATTGCAGGGCTGGGGCAGGGCGTGCAGGAGGCAGCTGATCCAGGATTCTCTCTCTCTCTCTCCCTTCCTCTCTGAAACCCATAAAAATATATTTTAAAAAATCTATACGGATGCTGACATCTGCTTGGGGAGCTCAGGGGCAGGACCGGCTTGGGCTGGCTGGGCATTCTGTAATGAGAGATGGGCTCTGAGAGGGGCTGAGGAAGGCTAGGCCATACATAGGGTGGCAGGGAACATATTGGTGCACAGGGAGCTGTCCCTCAAGAATGCATCCCAGCGCTGGCCGGTGTGGCTCAGTGGACAGAGCGTCGGCCTGTGGACCGAAGGGTCCCGGGTTCGATTCCGGTCAAAGGCGTGTACCTCGGGTGGCAGGCCCCTCCCTGCCGCTCCCTCACCAGGGGCATGTGCAGGAGGCAACCAATCGATGTGTTTCTCTTGCATGGACGTTTCAGTCTTTCCCTCTCTCTAAAGATCAATGGAAAAATATCCTCGGGTGAGGGTTTAAAAAAAAAAAAAAAAAGAATGCACCCCACGCTCAGGAGTCCGGTCCTCTGAGCCAGGGACTCACCCCGTCCCCGAGGCTCGGAGGGGACAGAGCCAGGTCCGCCTGGATGTGCCCGGCGCTGCCCAGCCCCCTGGCGCCCGGCGGCAGATGGGCCATTTCCAAACAAGGCCGCCCAGGCTGGGCCTCCGGGAGGTTTACGCTGACACGGACTTGGCTCCCACCCACTCCCTCTTCCCATCCTTCGCGGGGAGAGTTAAGAGCCCTGACCCCTGGCAGGCGGGGCTGGGAGAGCTTTTGAGACCAAGTTTGTCCACGGCGCCCCGGGAAGCCGGCCTGGCTCCGGTCCGTGGCATTCCGGGGGGCTGGCCGTGGGCGGCCTCCTGCAATCCGGTCCCCTTGTCTGCGTCAGGGATGCGGGAAGGCTGGGGGCAGAGGGATTAGCGGGATGCGGGCCGGCAGCTGGGCCAGCGACATTTTTTCATCGGAGGGCCAGGCCTTGCATGGGCAATCAGCAGCGGGCCGGGAACATATCCCAGAGGAGATTTCCCCTCATTAATTATTCTTCTTTATCTTATCTTTGCCTTCTATTTATTGGCCTTAACTTCCTTGTTGTTAAGACTTGCCAGAGGATACTTTTTTTCCCACTGAATTTTACAGGGAGGGAAGAAGAGAGGGAGGGAGAGCAGGACACCGATGTGAGAGAGACAATGATGTGACCATCACTGTCTCATCATGGATGTTATAATCTCTCTCTCTCTCTCCCTCTTCCTCTCTGAAGTCAATAAAATATATTTAAAAATAAAAATAAAAATAAATCACCTCTGAAAGCAGAGCAGGCTTCCCTGGGTGCCCAGCCTGGGTTCCCTCGGGTGCAGATTGGCTGGATTTGAAAACCAAGGACTGGAGGAGGGCGTACAGGGAGGCATCCAAGGACCCGGGGATGCTCAGATCCCTGCAGGGCCTGCGTCTCAGCTCCATCCCCAAGGCCCGGACATGTGCAGGCCAGGCGGGAGGCAGGCAGCACCTGCCATCCACCCTCCCACTCGTCCCCCGACTCCCCCCACGGGAGGCTGGCTCTCACCGTGGTGCTCGGGCTGCCCGGAAGCCACGGCGGCGCGGGCCACGCAGTGGGCGGACTCCCCGGCCTCCTCTCCGGACGGCTCTGCGCCCAGGACGATGAGATGCGCCTGTCGCGGGGGGAGAAGAAGAAACAGGCTGGTGTCCCCGCCTAAAAGCGGCGACAGGGAACTCACCGTTCCCGTTGCGATAAGCAGGGAGCCAGGGTGCGCTCTGGGCGGCGGGACAGCGTGACAGCGTGACGGAGGGGGAAGCAGCGAGCTGCTAGGGGGCAATGGGATCTGAAAGCGCCGGGAGGGGGAGAGGGGAAGCACCGGCCACCGAGTCCCGAGGGCTCGCGGCTGCGGCCAGAGGCCAGGGACCATCGATCGATCGATCGATCGATCGGTAAGCAAGTTATTTCAAAGGCTCTGCTCCGAGGAGAGGGGAGGGTCTCCAGGAGAAAGGGGATGGATTTAAAAGGGTCAGTGCCCTGACCGGTGTGGCTCAGTGGATAGAGCGTCGGCCTGCAGATTGAAGGGCCCCAGGTTCGATTCCTGCCAAGGGCATGTACGTTGGTTGCGGGCACAACCCCAGTGGAGGGTGTGCAGGAGGCAGCTGATGGATGTTTCTCTCTTATCGATGTTTCTAACTCTCTATCGCTCTCCCTTTCTCTCTGTTAAAAAAATCAATAAGATATATTTAAAATTAATAAGTTAATTAATAAAAGGGTCAGTGCTGCCCTGGAGGGTGTTGCTCAGTGGCTGACGCAACAGTCAAGTCACTTCTCGCCTGTCAGCAGGGGTGTGGGGAGGGTGACAAGTGCCCGTGAGTAACACGTGTGCACTCATCCGATACACAGGTACTTACGGGTGGCCTGCTACCAGACACGCGTGGGCCAGAGAGCGGGGCGGTGCGGGAAGAAACAGACAGGAAACACCGAGTCACACGGGGCGCTGCCGGGAGCGGGCAGGTAGCGCCCGACACGTCGCCAGAACACAGAGACCCAAACCCCACGCGTTTCAAGGGGAGAAACACTGGGCCAAACTGGTGAACCACTGATATTTGAGCTGCACACTTTATAGATATATATATATATACACTTTAAAAAACAACAACATGGTTTTATTGATTTCAGAGAAGAAGAGAGAAGGGGGGGAGAGAGAGAGAGAGAGAGAGAGAGAGACAGACACACACACACACACACACACACACACACACATCAACGATGAAGAGAGAACCATGCATTGGCTGCCTCCTGGACACTCCCCACTGGGGACCGAGCCCGCCACCCGGGCATGTGCCCTGACCGGGAATCGAACCGTGACCTCCTGGCTCTGGCTTACGGGCCAGTACTCAACCACTGAGCCACACCGGCTGGGCAGTGGGTGGGTGGTAGCTCTAGATGTTTGATGACAGGGGCCGCTCCACGTCCAGGGGGCTGGTCGTGACTCTCCTTGCTGTGTTAGAACCGTCAGAATGTCACATCCTCAAAGGCTAACGACATCCCTGGTTTTGGAACTCCTTTTGTTGTTCAAGGACAGAGACAAATAGAAGAAGGGGGTCTTGGCAACGCCCCGATTAGTCACCCCCCTTTCTCTCCGCCCCCCCCAGTCTGGCCTGAAGGGCTGACTGGAGATGCTTTTCAAACAGCAGGCGGCCCGGAAGGCGGCAGGAGCCGCAGGGATGGAGGTCAGTGTCTGGGAGAGGAAGACAGCGAGGGGCGAGTCTGCCCTGCTCCCCATGGCGACGGAGTCACGTTTATGATCCTGCCCTGGGTTCCCTGTAGGGAAGCTTTTCAGGGCCGCGCGCACCACAGGGGGCAGCAGGAAGTGGAAGGACGGGGGAGAGGGGGATCTTGGCTAAGAGCAAGAGGGAGCTGGGAATCCCCGGGGCAGTGGCTGGGAGGGAAGTCACCGGGTGCCCGTGGCCGTGGCAAACCCGGCTCTTGGGGCCCCGGCCTGAGCCGGTTGCTTTTAATAGTCGGAGAGAGTCCTCCGTGGCAGCTCTCCACGGGTCAATTTTAGCTCCTCCGGAGGGCTGGCTGGCGAGAGAAGCCCTCCCCCACCCCGCTGAGGGCTGGCCCTAAAATAGACGGGGGCTTGCGTTTTCTGTCCAGGTTTGGTTGCAAGCAGGCGTTCTCTTTAACACCTAACTAGGCTTTTAGATAGGAACGCTCATTCCTGCCTGTCACTCTCAGAACCCTGCCCTAACAGGCTCAGTGGATGGAGCGTCTGGCCTGCAGACTGAAGGGTCTCAGGTTCGATTCCGGTCAAGGGCATGGACCCTGGTCTCGGGCACATCCTCAGTAGGGGGGTGTGCAGGAGGCAGCTGATGGATGTTTCTCTCTCGTCGATGTTTCTAACTCTCTATCCCTCTCCCTTCCTCTCTGTAAAAAAAAAAAAATCAATAAAATACATTAAAACAAAAACACACACACGCACACACAAAAAAAAACCCCTAAGTGGTAGGAAGGAATAAACAACTTGAATGCCCGTCCCTGCCGTCCGTAAGCCACGCTCTCTCTCCTGACTCCGGATAGCTCCCTGCTGCCCTCTGTTTCCGTGTCTCTGACAGGTGCCCACCCGTGCGGCTCATTGGCTGAGCGCCGACCCATGAACAGGGAGGTCAGCGTTCGATTCCACCCGCGGTGGCTCGGCGGGGCTGGCTCTGTTTATCTCCACTTGCACGAAAGACGTTTCCTGAATGTTCCGTGTTCCTTTCAGAAAAAGGAAAGGCCTTTTCTTTTCTCTCTGGGCGCTGGTCACCGCGAAGGAATGCGGAGGGGAGAGACGGGACGGGAGGCCATAAACCCCCTTTTCTCTGTGTGCGGGGGGGGGGGCTGACACGTGGCTGGGAGGCACGAGCTCCTTCCCAGAGCTGTGGCCACACTGGGCCTTTCTGTCTCGGGGGCCGTCCCCATGATGCGCTCTCACCGTTGATGTTTCTCTCTCCCTCCCTCTCCCTCCCCCCGATATGAAATCAATAAAAACATACTAAAGAGAAAATACGAAATGAATAAAAAAAACGTATCAAAGAGGGAAAGGCGCTGGGCCTGGAGCGGCCCTGCAGCCAGCGCGTGCGCAGCTCACCTGCAGGAAGTGGTTGATGGCCGCGCCGTGCAGCCCCAGGGCCCGCTCGGCGCCCGCCAGCTCCCTCAGCACCGGCACGCACTCCGGACTCTCCTCCCCTCGGCTGCTCTCCGTGTGCTCCAGAGCCTCTTGGTAGTGGGGAAGGGCCTCCTCCCATCTCCTCTGGCCCTGGTACATCCTGCAACATCAGAGGGACGGCTTTTAGGATAATCACACAACGGGAAATGCGGGGAACACAGGTGGTCTGGGGGGGGTGACGGTTTGGCTCTCCGACGCCTGTTATCCAGGTTCGTTTCCTAGCCAGCTAGGACTTTAAAAAAAAAATTTTTTTTTTTTTAAATTAAATATATTTTATTGATTTTTCACAGAGAGGAAGAGAGAGGGATAGAGAGTTAGAAACATGGATGAGAGAGAATCATCCATCAGCTGCCTCCTGCACACCCCCTGCTGGAGATGTGCCCGCAACCAAGGTCCATGCCCTTGCCCGGAATCGAACCTGGGACCTGTCAGTCTGCAGGCCAACGCTCTATCCACTGAGCCAAACCGGTTTTGGCCAAAAAAAAAATTTTTTTTAATGGGCTTCAGAGAGGAAGAGAGAGGGAAAGAGAAACATCAGTGACGAGAATCATGGATCGGCTGCCTCCTGCGAGCCCTCAACCCGGGCATATGGCTTGACTGGGAATCGGACGTCGACCTTCTGGTTCATAGGCTGATGCTCAACCACTGAGCCACACTGGCCTGGGGAGAGCCCAAAATAGTAATGTATCTGGAAGAGGTACTCTGGCAAGGCAAGAAGATCTCCAGGTCAGAATGCTTCCCTAAGCATTCTCTGTGATAGCGGAAAAGAACAAAGAAAGCGCTGACGTTGCACCGACAGGCAATTGTCCAAGCAGGTTACCGTAAGCACACCCACACACTGCGGAAGGCCACTTAGCCATCAGAGGTAATGTCGATCCATATTGACCCATTATGGAAGCACAGCCACTACACATTCTAAGCGGAAAAAAGCAAATTACAAAAATAACTTGGCGTGCTCTACAAAAGCTTTGCGTCTAATCTATATGCACACAAGCGCATAAAGAGATACTTAGCCCCGGCGGGTGTGGCTCGGTTGGTTGGTTGTTGCCATTTGAATTCCTGGTCGGGGCACATACCCAGATTGTGGGCTGGATCACCATTGAGAGGGTGGGAGGATGTGGGGGGCGGGGGGGGGGGGGGGGGGAGGGAGGCAGCCGATCCATGATTCTCGCTCATCACTGATGTTTCTTTTCTCTCTCCCTCTTCCTTCCTCTCTGAAATCAATCGAAATATTTTTTCTTTTTAAAGAAGCTTAGAATATAATAACTGGACTTTGAAAGCATCGTATTTCATTTCTGAAGAGAAGACCGGCTCTGAAACACAGGGCTGGTAACCTTATCACTTTGCCGAGGAATAAGGTTACATAAAAGTTACATAACGGAACACAGCAGTCAGCAAACAACGGCCTTTGGGTCCGATGCGCTGTCTTTACACATAAAGTTTTATTGGCCCACAGCCACGCCCGCTTGTTTACATATTGTCCAGGGCTGCTCTTGCCAGGGATGCATAAAATACTTAACTGCCTGGGCCTTGACAGCAGGGGTGGGGAACGGCCCATATAAGGCCCCTGAAATCATTGGGTCTGGCCCTGCCACGGCATTAGGGGTGAGCTAATTAAATGCTTGGCCAAACAGAGCAGGCTCATTTTTAAGCTGATCATTTTTATACGGCTTTAACTATCCAAATGGCCCATGGCAGAGAAAAAAAAAAAAAAAAAAGGGTCCCCACCTCCCACTTGACAGAAACAGTGTGCCAGCCTCTGCGCCAGAATCTAGAGCAAGCCGCATAGTTTCTTAATGACTGCAGATTCTTTCCACCGGATGGAGCCTCGGGAACCCGGACAATACCACAGATATTTGAGTGAAGGAAGAGGAAAAAAAGATCACCTTCTTCCTCGCACGCTCATAAAGGATGAAGCATGTGGAGAGAGGGAGGCGAGGATCGGCCGCTGGCTTCCAAGGCTCCTTAAATGGTGTGCGTGTCCTGGGCCCCGGGGCTTGCTCAGCTCGGTCCTGGCTCTGCTCTGACCTCCCAGACTGAGCGCGGTGCCTTTGTGAACACTGACTGTGCTTCCCCAGAACTGGGAATCCCTCTGCTCAGAAAACATCTCTCATATTTGTATCTTGGTTTTGCTTATTATTATTTTTTTTTTTTATTGATTTCAGAGAGGAAGGGAGAGGGAGATAGAGAATCAATGATGATAGAGAATCATGGATCGGCTGCCTTCTGCACGCCCCGCACTGGGGATGGAGCCCCGACTGGGAATCGAACCGTGACCTCCTGGTTCCTTAGGTTGACACTCAAACCACAGAGCCACGCTGGCCGGGCTCTCGTACCTCAGTCCCACTCTGGGCACCCACCTCAGAGATAACGTTGTGTGTGTGCCCAAAGGGACTCGCAGCAAAGGGGTCAGGGGAACGGGGTTTCCAGGAGGCAAAGTTTGGAAGCGATTTACAAGTTTTACTCTCATGGTGGTGAGGAGGAGAAGGGACCTTTCAATCCATTTTGTCTCTCCCCCTCCCTTCCAAAGTGAGTAAGCATGACTGGATGGAATGGTGCTGGGACGAAGGCGGACAGGTACGAGGGACGGGTGCTGAGGGCCCCAGGGAGGGAGGGGAGGCTGGGAGCATGAGTCACTCTGCAGCCCGCATCTGCCTGCCCGAGGCGGCGAGAGCTGGCCTGGCCCGATGGGCACCATAAAAGGCGAGGCAGATGGAGGAGGTGGATGCACCTAAGAGATACCCTTTTAAGAGAAACACAAATCCCATGAGAGCTGCCCGAGGGATTACCCCGGCCTTCCGCCTCCACCGCCTGGCCCTGGGGGCTGTGACGGTGACTGCAGACATGCACAAAACCAAAGCCTTCTTCTTTTTTTGTTTATTTTATCTGCACCCGGGGATATTTTTCCCGTTGATTTTTATAGAAAGTAGAGGACCAGAGGGAGGGAAGAACACAGAGACACAGAAACACCGATGTGAGAGAGACACATCAATGGGCTGGCTGCCTCCCGCACGGGGATCGAACCTGCAGCCCGTCGAGGTACGTGCCCTCGATGGGGATGGAACCCACGACCCTTCGGTGCCCGGGGCCAACGCTCTAACCACTGAGCCACACCGGCCGGCCAGGGCAAAGCCCTGTTGCTTTCGAGAGCAGATCAGATTGGGCAGAACATTCACACGTTCGGCCAGGAAACAAAAGCCGAGAGGGATTGCATGGAAACCTTCAGTTGAAACATGCGAGTTCCAGGAACTGGGTCAAGGCGAAGGCTCAGAAGTAGCGGAGTTTAAAACAACTCCCCGAAATAAATGCAAGGTAACTGGAGGACAGCTGAGAAAGGGGACTCATTGGTTAGGCATTCGGGACAGACGCGGACGAGGCCCGCCACCTGCTGGCGAGATTCGGCACTGCTAGTCTGGAAAGCACTCCGGGAGGGATTCTGGGTAGAGGAAGGCAGGCATTTAACCTGACTTTGCAGCAATGTTGTTCAATGGTAAGCACAAATGACATGTAGTCACATCTCCACAGATGGCAACAAACATCAGACCCGGGACCTCGTGATTTGCATGCGTCCTGCCTTACAATGCACGATAGGATGTCTAGTTCCGGGCAGGGAGCAATTCTGGATTAGTAGTATAGCCTTTTTTTTTGCAATCACTGCCATCTCCTGTTACATCCGTGGGATCAGAGGCATGATGAGTTCTTTGGGGGCCTTATTTCTTTCACAAACACTGCTCGTGAGAGTGACTCAGGATGTCAACCATAGGAACACGCTGACCATTCTCTCTGGATGAACATGTCACACTTTTTTATCTACTCGACCTTCTTGTCAGAGGTAACCATCGACTTATTTTTTTTTTATTATTTAATAATTTTTTAATAATTTTGATGTTTTAAATTTACCGTTATTGTTGAAAGTATTACAGATGTCCCCCCTTTTTTTCGCCATTGACCTCTCCATCCATCCTGGTCCCGCCCTTCGCAGGCCTTCACTGCACTATTGTCTGCGTCCACGGGTTATGCATATATGTATGCATCTAAGTTCCCGGATAGTCTCTCCCCATCCACCCACCTTCCCTCTGAAATTCACCAATCTCTCTCTCTCTCTCTCTCTCTCAATAAATAAAAATTAAAAATAATAAAGAAGTTAGGCTGCTGTTTTAACCTCTCACCCAACAGAATATATCAGAAGACATAAAACAATGGACAGTGCTAAACAGCCCAACAATTGTGCATCAAAATTCAAATGCTCTTATCTTCAAAATTAATACATCAGAGTCGCAAAAGATAAACAAAAATATAAATCCGAGTTACCCTAAGGCAGACTTATTGCAACCTTAAACACGACAAAAGCTCCCTGGGAACCTTCTTGAAAGCTTCAGTAAAAAATTGCAGGGATCATACCATATAAATATGTTTCTGTCTATAATACCATAAAATTAGACAGGAATAGCAGCCAAACACCCTGAAAAAAAAAAAAAAATCTCATATATCTTCCAACGAAAACACAGATCACTTGAGTCATCATTGGCTTAAAGGGTAATTTATACAATAAATTATAGATACTAAAAACTGGAGGGGGTGTGCAGGAGGCAGCCGATCCATGAATCTCTCTCATCATTGATGTTTCTCTCTCACTCACTCTCCCTTCCTCTCTGAAAGCAATAAAGGCAGATTTAAAAAACAAGAAACTTCCTGCCTGGAGACAGAGTCTTCCGGCAAAGAACCGCCAGCCGCCATGAAAACTTACCGCGCGAATGACAGTTTGATCCGAGCTTGGATTTCTATCCACTCCTCCTTCACGATCCTCCCACATCGCAGCAGCTCCTTCGAGAGCCTCTCTGCTTTCGCCAAGTTCTCTGCTGCCTCCTTAAATCTGAGTCGCGTTCAGGAAAACATGACCCTGGGCTCTAGATTCCGGGACCCGAGTTCCTGGACATCCCGGGCTCCCTATACACTTCCCGTCACCCTTCCCGGGCCATCTGTCTGTCAGCTTTGAGAACCTTATATAATAAAATCCTAATATGCAAATAATATGCAGCCGAAACCGGTTTGGCTCAGTGGATAGAGCTTCGGCCTGCGGACTGAAAGGTCCCGGGTTCGATTCCGGTCAAGGCCATGTACCTTGGTTGCGGGCATGTCCCCAGTAGGGGGTGTGCAAGAGGCAGCTGATCGATGATTCTCTCTCATTGATGTTTCTAACTCTCTATTCCTCTCTCTTCCTCTCTGTAAAAAAAAAAAAAAATCAATAAAATATATTTAAAAATAAACAAATAATATGCAAATTGTCCCCATCCACTGGGGGGCGGGGCAGGCTGGCCAACCACAGGAAGGAAGGCCCCGGCTGGTGGTGGTGGTGGCAAGGAGATAGAGGGAGATCCTGGCCGGCAGCTGCAAGGGACCCTACCCATGCACAAATTTTGTGCACTGGGCCTCTAGTTAAGTATAAGGAACACGAACAGTATGTCTCTTTGTAAGTAGAGGCCAAAAGATATTTGCTTATTGTTGTTCATCCTCACCCCAGGATTTTTTTTTTTTTTCATAGAGAGTAAAAGGGAGAGGGAGAGACAGAGAGAAACATTGATGTGAGAGAGACATATCAATTGGTTGCCGCCTGCATAAGCTCCAACTATGACCGGGGATTGAGCCTGCAACAGAGGTACATGGCCTTACCCAGAAGGCAATGCTCTACCCACTGAGCCACGCCGACAGGGGCCAAAAGGATACTTCTGAAGGGCCAGGAGGGCGCTCCCCAGGGTGTGAAACAGCTCGATGGAACACCTGAACACATCCGTGTTGTCGTCATAGGGAGGCCCGATGGAGCTGGTGAGGATTTCTCTGGCTGTCTCTGCGTGGTGTCTGGCCTGCAGGGACAGTCCTGGCGACAGGGAAGAGGAAGTCTCAATGTCTCTGTCATCTCAGTGGGCAAGAATATAGTCAGTCACTTGCGGTCAGGGAATCCAACGAGGTCTCCTTGACCTACTCACTATATCAAGGGGAGAGGTACCGGGGGCAGCCGGAAATACTGTCATAACTATAGCAACCAAGTGTTTTATACCTAGTGAAGATGACATCCCTCCCTCCCCGCTATAGACAAGATAAGATCATTTCTCCCTGAGAATGGTCTTCTTATTTATCCACTTTTCTAAAATATACTTTTATTGATTTCAGAGAGAAAGGGAGAGGGAGGGAGAGATAGAAACATCGAAGATGAGGGAGAATCATGGACTGACTGGCTCCTACATGCTCCACACTGGGGATCGAGCCTGCAACCTGGGCATGTGCCCTGACTGGGAATCAAACTGGGACCTCCTGGTTCATAGGTCGATGCTCAGCCACTGAGCCAGCCAGGCCCAAGAACCCTACTTTAAAGACCCTAAAAAACAAAACTCTAAGGGCCCAAATCTTCCCTCTCTTTTTTTATATAGTATATATTTTAAAAAATCTTATTGACTCTTTGTGATGGGAGATGGCTTCCCAATGTGTGCAGAGGAGAAGGGTCAAGATAATTTCCTTCCTGCATTTACATGTTAGTCCAATTTTTGGGGGTTTGGGGGAGAAGCAAAATCCAACCAATAGAGCCTCCTGGGTCTGAGCTGAGCTCACCTTTCAGCTGGAGGTAGCCTTGAGCCAGATTAACGTACGCCTCTGCTAGTTTCCAATGGCAGCTACCATAGCAGATCCTGGTCAAGGCTACGCAACGTACGAGCTCCTGGATCGCCTGCTTATGCTGTAAGGAAAAGAAAACAGGCTTACCGTTAAAAAAAATATATATATATTTTTTAAAAATATATTTTTATTGATTGCAGAGAGGAATGAAGAGGGAGAGAGATAGAAACATCAATCTATCTATCTATCTATCTATCTATCTATATATATATATATATATAAAAGCCTAAGTGACTGGCCGACTGGGACCGAAAGTAGCTATGATGCACACTGACCAGCAGGGGGCAGATGCTTACCACAGGAGCGGAAATCACAGGTGTGGAAACATGGAACAGACTGATGAATCTCAGAGGGAAGGGGGGATGGGGGAAGGCAGGAAGAGATTAACCAAAGATCTTAATGCAAACTAGAGCAGCAGTCACCAACTGGTGGTCCGTGGACTATGGGGTCCGAAAGGTTGGTGATCGCTGTACTAGAGGCCCAGTGCACAGTGCCCTCTCGCAATCCGGGACCCCTCAGGGGATTATTGGAGAGCCCGGAGCAGCCCAATCCCACTGGTGCATGCATCTGTGCACCAGGCCTCTAGTCTATAATAATTAAAGTGTAATATGCTAATTAGACCAGAGCCAAATGACCCTCTGGACGTCCTTCTGGAATCCTTCCGGATGACCTTCCAGACAAAGCTGTGGCTGTGAGGGCAGAGCCCCTTGCACGAATTTCGTGCATCGATCCTCTAGTAAGAGATAATCATCAGTTGGCTGCCTCCTGCATGCCCCCTACTGGGGATCGAGCCCACAACCCAGGCATGTGCATTGAAAAAGAATCAAAGAGGGACCTCCTTGTTCATAGGTCGACATTCAACCACTTAGCCACACTGGCCAGGGCAGAATTTCCTTCTTTTTATGGCTGAATAATATTCCATTGTATACATACATACATACACTTTTTCTTGGGAACATAACCTAAGCTATTGCCCTTCCCAATGACCTGAATACAGGGATGGAGCAAGAAGGCTCCTCACCTCGTGTCGGCTGGAATAGAACTTTGCTTTCTCTTCACTGAGCTGGAGTTTCTCTTGGGGAGGCTGGAAGAGGACCGTCTGAGGCAGCTTGTAGGCCAACTTCCTTCTCGGCGTGATGCTGACGGCAGCCACAATTTCATCTAAGTACTTGGATATGTGGGTTTCCTGTGATTCTTCCATATTCTTACAGTCATTATCCTCTGGTTGTTAAATAGAATAAAATAAAATAAAATAAAAGAGAGGTGTTAGGTGATCTTTTTCATGTCGACTTTTCCCCTAGAAACTGAGGCTCCAGGAAGATTTCAACACCATATTCATGACTTCTTTGAAAACAGGAGCATTCTCGCTCAGCCTACATGGCTCAGTGGTTGAGCGCTGACCTATGAACCAGGTCACAGCTGGATTCCCGATCAGGGTACATGCCAGGGTGGTGAACTCTATTCCCAGGTTGGGGTCATGCAAGAGGCAGCCAATTGATGATACTCTCTCATCATTGATTTTTTTTTTTTTCTCTCTCTCTTTCCCTCTCCTGCCTCTCTGAAAGCAATAAAAATATATTTAAAAAAATAAGAGAGAAAGTGGCCATGTTACCAAATAAGGTATTTAAAATATTAGTTTTTGTGGTTTTTTTTTTTTTTTTTTAAACTTTCCTAAAGCCCTAACCGGTTTGGCTCAGTGGCTAGAGCGTCCACCTGAGGACTGAAGGGTCCCAGGTTCGATTCCAGTTAAGGGCGTGTACCTTGGTTGCGAGCACATCCCCAGTAGGGGGTGTGCAGGAGGCAGCTGATGGATGTTTCTCTCTCATCGATGTTTCTGTCTATCATTCTCCCTTCCTCTCTGTGAAAAATCAATAAAATATATTTTAAAAACACACACACACAAAAACTTCCCTAAGAATTCTTGGACTTTTTTTTTCTTTTTTTAACCCACATAAAGCTCTCTTCCTTTGATGTCTTTATTCCCTGACATAGGAGTATTCCTTCACGGCCTATTCAGTCACGCTAGGAACCCCCCCAATATTTAAATGACTCAATTGTCATTGTCTTTTCCAGCGACCCTTCCTCACAACAGGTATTTCAGAGACCAGGTGACCGCCTCCTCTTTGGCGGGAATGCCCTTCAAACCCTCCCAAGCCTCCGTTTCTCGTCCGTCCAAGGACTATAATAACGGTACCTGTGCCATGGGATTGCCGAGCAGGTGAAAAGAGGTGAGCTATGCACGCCGCCTGGAACCCAACAAGCGCTCGGCAGCAATTATTGCTGTAAATTCCCTCCACGCACACGCACATTCAGCGCGTGCACGCATGCCTGCCTGGACGGGGTGCACGAATGACAGCGCCGAGTCGCTCCCGGCGGCCTCGGAGGTGGGAGCCGGGATAAATCACACCTTTCACCTTTGCAAAAAGCAAAACGCTACGCCTTCCTGACAGCCAGCCCAGAGAGCCGGGGCCGGAAGCGAAAGCGAGGGCCGGAAGTGGGCGGGGCCAGCATGCCGGAAGCTATGCTCTCGACCAATGGCCACACGGCTTGGGGGAGGCGGGGGAGGAAAACACAAACAAACGAGCGTCTCGTTTGACCTTTTGTAAAACCGCGAGAACTGGGAGGAATTATCGCGAGACTCCGTCCTCCAGCGCCATTCCCGCTTTTCTCGGAAGGGGCGGTTCCGCCCCGCCCCTCACCGCCTAGCCCCGCCCCCTGCCCGGCGCCCCGCCCGCCCGGCGCCCCACGGTTGCGGTCCCCCCTCAGCCCGCGGCGCTCAGGTGAGTGTGGCGCCCGGAGCCTCCGGGGACTGGGGTGGCGAGGCCTCCCGTCCCGGCCTCCGCCTCGCAGGCTGGGCCCGGTGACAGGTGGACAGGGCCGCGGGGGGGGGGGCGGGTGTGGACGGCGCGGGGCGAGCGGGCCCTGTCGGGGGGCCTCGGGTCCCCTCAGCCGCCGCCGCCGCCGCCGCCGGGCCCTCCGAGCGCCGGGGGGTCCGGGTCCGGGGTCTGCGCAGCACCCGCCGGGCCTTCGGAGGAAACAGCCTTTGGCAGAGGCTGGTCCGGGGCCGTTTTCTGGGCTCCGGGGTGCAGGGTGAGGGAGTCGGGGTGGCGCTTCGGAAGCCAGGAACGAAGCCAGGAACGAAATAGGCTTAGCATGGAAGGTTTTGTTTCTTTAAGAGAAGGCTGTCGCTCCCTTTGTATGTTTTTTTATTTTTTTATTTGCTATACCAGTATCTCTCTTTATATATATTTTTAAAAAATATGTATTTTATTGATTTTTTTTTTTTTTTACAGAGAGGAAGAGAGAGGATAGAGAGTTAGAAACATGATGAGAGAGATATATCATGGATCAGCTGCCTCCTGCACACCCCGCACTGGGGATGTGTCCCCAACTAAGGTCCATGCCCTTGACAGGAATCGAACCTGGGACCCTTGAGTCCCCAGGCCGACGCTCTATCCACTGAGCCAAACCAGTTAGGGCTCTCTATCTATCTATCTATTTTTTTTTTTTTAAATCTTTATTGTTGAAAATATTACCTATGCCCCTTGTCGTTTACTTTTAGCTGCAGGTCAGAGGCAGTGAAGGGAATTTGTGTAAGAAAAGAATACCCAGGTAAAGGAGGTCTGTGGCCGATGAATACATATTGAAAAACTACTTGCATTATTTTTTTTTAAATTTAGCTTAAGTGTTTATGTGTATATATTTATATTATTGATGTCAGAGAGGAAGGGAGAGAGAATCATGGATCGGCTGCCTCCTGCACGCTCCACAATGGGATGGAGCCTGCAACCTGGGCATTGAATTGAACCATGACCTCCTGGTTCATAGGTCGAAACTCAACCACTGAGCCTCGACAAGCCGGGCTGATGTAGCTATATTTTATTTTTTTAAATTTAAATATTCTTGAAAGACCCTAAGCTGGGTACAAAAACACACACAAGGATTTGCCATGTTTGATTTTTAACTTGTTTTCTAGGTTGTCGATTATGAAACCCGTCTCTGTTGTTTTAGGTATTCCGATATCCATGTCAGGAGACTATTTTCAATTAGGACTATTTCTACTGGGTGATAAACATTTCCCAAGCAGGGAATGCATTTTTATTAAATGTTTATTAATTTCATTTCCTTCTAAACGTGTATGACAAGTTGAGTTGTTATGAAAGCGAAATATGGGGATTGATTCAATGGTTAACTCTCTTTTTTAAAAAAATATAGTTTATTGGTTTTTTACAGAGAGGAAGAAAGAGTTAGAAACACCAATGAGAGAATCATCGATCAGCTGCCTCTTGCACACCCCCCTACTGGGGATGTGCCCGCAACCAAGGTACATGGCCTTGACCGGAATCGAACCTGGGACCCTTCCGTCTGCAGGCCGACGCTCTATCCACTGAGCCATACAGGTTTTGGCGGTTAACTCTTTCGTATCCGTATCTGCAGTAGCTCCCTGTGAATAGCACGTTTGGCAGTGTTCTAACTCTGCACCTGTCCTTCTCCTTCCTCAGAGATGGACCGGCTCTGACAGGATGTAGTGGCGCCGCCTGCCGGATGGGATCTGCTCAGCCATGGCGTCCGAGCTCTGCAAGACCATCTCTGTGGCGAGGCTGGAGAAGCACAAGAACCTGTTCTTAAACTACAGGAACCTCGACCACTTCCCGATGGAGCTGCTGAAAGGAGAAGGGCTCCAGTTCCTGGAGAGGCTCTACATGAAAAGGAACTCGCTCACGACCTTGGTACAGTATTCTGTTGCATTCTCTAAAAAAATAATAATAATAATAATAATAATAATAATAATTTAGAACGTGGTCCTGACCAACGTACACGTTCCATATCTTTTTTTTTTTTTTTAAATATATTTCATTGGTTTTTTACAGAGAGGAAGGGAGAGACATAGAAAGAGAGTTAGAAACGTCAATGAGAGAGAAACATCGGCCAGCTGCCTCTTGCATGTCCCCTACCGGGGACGTGCCCGCAACTCAGGTACATGCCTTTGACCGGAATCAAACCTGGGACCTTTCAGTCCGCAGACCGACGCTCTATCCACTGAGCCAAACCGGTTTCGGCACGTTCCATATCTTAAGACAGTCAGACGAACACGGGTGTCCTCTCTTACTGTGTAAACAGGCACTATAAACCCACACACAGAGGGTCCTCATGAGCAGAGAATGAATGACTCGAGACCCCGCAGTTAGGTGGGGACAGGAGGAGCTGTGAAGGAAAGCAAAATATTCACAAATGTGCTACTTACCAAACTGCCCCTGTTCAAAACCTCTCTCCCCTTAGCCGGTGCCTGTGCCTGGGCCTGTGCCTTTTTTTTTTTTTTTTTTTATGTGCGTTAAGCTTCCTAAGTGATTTTTGGATGTGTTTGAATAGATCAGAATCCCAGAATGACATTAACAGTGTCATTTTTATTGTTTTTGTTATGGCGGTTGCTAACCCTCACTCGAGAATATTTTTCCATTGATTGACTTTTGTGGAAGGGATGGAGGGCGGGGGAGAGAGAGGGAGAGAAACATCAATGAGAGAGAGATACATTGACTCCCGCATGTGCCCTGATCAGGGCCCTCAAGAAGATAATGGTTTGTGCTTAAGCTATTTAGAGATATTTGTACACTTTTCAGAAAATAAAATTTAATTCTGAGTTTTTAATTTTCAGCCAGAGAACCTAGCTCAGAAGCTTCCAAACCTGGTGGAACTGTGAGTCTGTTTATTCAATTTTTTAAAAACGGGGATGAAAATAATTTTAAGTTATTTGAAATATTAGGAAATGTCATTTTCATGTATTTATTTTTTAGCATCACGAGCATGGTAGATCTGTGGTTCTGCTAAGCCCAAAAGTCTTTTAACGTATTTTAACCATTTAAATTTGTGTTTTCAACATCTCACTTCAAGGTGGTGAAGATGCTGAAGAGTACCATTTCTCTGGGGGCAGCCTCTTTGTCCCAGAATCATTCTGGATAGTCCATGTAATTGGCAACATTTATTATTGTTACTACTACTCCATGTGATACTTGATATAAACAGTGAAACGTTTATAGACAATTTAAAATGTATGGTAAAAGCCTCCTTACCTGCATCCTCCATGTTTTGTTTTATTTTATTATTTAAAAAAAAAAAGTTTTTATTGGTTTTGAGAGAGAGAGGGAGATGGATAGAGCGATAGAAATGAGAGAGAAAAATCATCAAGCGGCTGCCTTCTGTACGCACCCCCCCACTCCCCCCACCCCCACCCCCACCCCCACTGGGGATGGAGCCCACAACCCAGGCATGTGCCCTGACCAAGAATTGAACTGGTGCCTTTTTGGTTCATAGGTTGATGCTCAACCACTGAGCCATCCTGGCCGGGCCCCGTTTACCTTTCAGCCAGTTCCTCCCATTGTTAACATCTCCCAATTCCATGATACATGCGTCAGAACAACAACAAAAAAAAAAACAACAACTGACATTGGCATGTTACTGTTAATAAAGTCTATACTTAATTTTTATCTTAAAAAAACGAACACCCTGCCACACCATTTTCCAAAGTGGCTGTGCTAGCTTGCGTTCCCATCAGCAATGAAAGAGAGTCCCCGTGTTATGAACGTGATGAACACTTAGTCACATCGAGAACACCATTTCAACGTCTCTGGACTTCCCGCTGCTAAGCTTATAATTACAAATGACTCAAGATATAATAATAGTCATCACGACAAAATAGCAATAGCATTCACTGAGCTCCATTCAGAGAGCTCCGCATATGTTGATTCATTTATTTCTTGCCATATCTCTGTGTTCTAATTGGTGCCGTTATCATCTGCTTCTATAGACTGAGAAAGCGAGAGGTTAAGTCACTCGGACCATATGGTTCTAGAGGCACAGAGCCTGCTCTCTGATCCACTATAACAGCAGTGATCCTTTCTTTTTTATATTTTGAATATGTTTTTATTGATTTCAGAGGAAAGGAGAGGGGGAGAGAGAGAGAAAATCAATGATGCGGGCTGGATTCCCAGTAGGGGGTGTGCAGGAAGCAGCTGATCAATGTTTCTCATCATCGATGTTTCTATTTCTAGCTCTCTCCCCCTACTCCTTCCTCTCTGAAATCAGTACAAATATACTTTTAAGAAAAAATAAAGTGTGGAATCATTTTATGTACACAAAACAAGGAATAAAATGTATCACGGAATGGTGTAATTATTTAAATTGTGTTAGACCCGCCAGGTTACTACCTATTTCAAAATTAATTTAGTCCAGCATAGAATAATTTTCTTAAATTTATTAATTTTCTATCTTTCTTTTTTGTAATATATTTTATTGATTTTTTTTTTTTTTTACA